GTGAACCAGTAGCCTTAGCATTGAGCAAGGACAATTTCTGTAAGGGAAATTTGACAGGCAAGACCATTCCCCATTCCCCCATTAAAAATCGCAACACAAGCGAGTGGCTAAGAACTTACATTTAACATGTATTGGTGAAAAACCCCTGCTTCTGGCCAAGAACAGTCCATCTCTGTAGCTTTAGGAATGCTACTGAGGAGCAGAAGTCATCCAGCAAGACTTCGAGCATGTTTGCAAGTCCATGGTGTGAAGGAGTTAAAAGTCGAAAAGGAAAAATGTGGGTTTCTTTTTATGCCAAGTAGGAGGCTCATGCTAACCTGCAACTGCCTTCCTCAGCTCCGGGCGCTGAGGCCGCTCCAGCGGGAAGGATGGAGGAACAGCCTCTGTCCAGGCCGACTGTGGCCACGGCCGCTCTCCAGGATAGATACGGAGGGGGCTGGAGGCGGGGGAATGGAAGGGACGCTCAGTCCAACAGCCCCGCGGTCCTCGCCTCCCAACGTGCCGCCAGGGCCTTCTGCCCTCTGTCCACCTGCCCTGCCTGGCATCTAGGGCAGGCCGGCCGGCTTCTCTTCTGCTTATGCTGCCGTGAAAAGAAACCACTGCCACAAATGTGGAAGAAAATTCCAGAGGCCATGGCATTTACCCACCTCCACCTTGTGACATGGCGTAAGCTGCGAACAGGTGCATTTACAATGGCGAGATTGGGGGCCCCTGGGGGCCAGCTAATGAAGGAAATGTGTCCGACACGGTGATGGGCATCACACCATGGAGGGGAAGGCACAGCCAAAAAAGGTGACCCGGGCACGAGAAGTGGGGCAGTGGGAAAATTCCGGACTCGTTAGCTGATCTTCCTGACTTTGCGGGAGCCCACGCCCCCACTCGCTCCCAACGGGCTTCTGTCCTCGCTACTCCGATGGAACACTTATGTCCAGAGTTGTCACCATGGCGGAATCCACTGGAAGTTCCTCTGTCCCCACTGTATTCCACCTTTCAATAGCATGTGACGTAACTGATCCCCTCCCTCCCCGAAACTTTTCTCTCTTGGCTTCCGGGACACCACCTGCTTGGCTGCCCACCTTCCTTCATGGCAGGTGATTCTCAGTCCCCATTGCTGGCTCCTTAATTCCCTTTCAAATGTGCAAGGCTGGTTCTGTCTTGGGACCTCCTCTACTTCCCAGCCAGATTTTCTGGTTCCCCGGGTTACCTGGCGAAGTCTCTTTGACCTCCTGTACACTGCTGACTTGCCCATGTGTTATCTCCCGCCTGATGGTCTCCTGTGCCACAGACTCGTATCTTCACGGGCTTGCCTAGCAGGCACCTCCAGTAGAAACTGTGTCCAGATTCAACCTCCTGATTCCCTCCCCCAAAGACCATGCAAGTCTTCCCAGCTCAGCGAGGGCAGGTGCTCATCTCCCCAGCTGTGTGCACACCCTGATCCCTCCCTTTCCCTGGTGCCACCTCCAACCCCCTCCAATACTTTCTCAGTTGTTTTTTTCAAAGCAGCCATCACAATCTGAACTCATTTGTTTGTTGATGGTAAACACAAAATTGTGGATTCACCCCCTAATGGGTCTCTATTGGGACTGAATGGGGACATAAGTAAGGAGCAAACACAGCATAGCACAGGAGTGTACTCCCTAGTATAATCCCACAGCTGCCATCCCTCAGGGACCCCCATCCCTGAGGATTTCTAGAACAGCTTCTGAGGGATCTCATGAACCAGCTGTATGCCTGCGACATGGCCTCACACACACTCTCCTCTAAGACAAAGTGGCTCGTTCTACCAAACTTTTAGTCCTTGATGGATCTGGGGTTACCAACATCACAGAGAGCAATTATATTTAATTTTGGATAAGCCATAAAACCAGCACAAAACTCTGGGAAGTGGTATCAGGCCCTGCTAGGACAAAGAGCAATCGTAGGATAGGAATCAGAACCATTTGTACTGATGCTTAAGAGGCAGAACAGGTAGGGCCGAGAAACAATCCACCGACCTGTTTGGTCAGAAGTTCACGGCCAAGGGTGGACAAGAAGAAACATCCATAGCACGAGGTTGGAAGCTCAGTTCCAGCTTCCGTTCTGTCCGGTGTGTGGCATTGATCCCATCACATGTGTGCTTTAATTTCCTCGTTGTAAAATGGGGACAGCGGTAGCATTTGGCTCTAAGAGTTGTAACGTAAAGTGGGTCATCTGGGTAAAATGCTAAGAATAGCGCCTGGCGTGTGGCAACATCGGATGCCTTTCAGTTCTTCTTCTTCTTCCAAGTAATCGAAAAAGTGGGAGGCAAACCTATTTGCCAAATGCCAAATATCCTTGAAAACCAACTGCCTTTCTGAGTTTGGATCTAGAATGTGGGTGTGTCACGGGGCGGGGGGGGGGGTCCTGCAGGGAGGGGCAGGACGAGCTCTGAGCGCAGAGAGACGACTGTGGTTTTAGCTCACGCCTCCTCACTCCTCATGCATCCTCGCTCCTCGTCTGCCTGCGGGGAGACGCCTGCTCTCTGGCTGTTCCTGAGAGAAGCTTAACACACAGGGGGTCTGGACAGAAGAAAAGACTGCTTCACTCCCAGTCAGCCATCCTCTTCTGTTCCAGCTGGGTTTGAGACACCGAGCACTGGGCTCCGGAGGTGTGGTCTGATTTGTGGGAAGAGTGCCACTAAATATTTACTGCTGTTGTGCAGGCTCAGACCCCAGACAGTGCACTGCAGAAGTTAAGACCTGAGACAGTGTTTCGGGATTAACATCCAGAATATATAAAGAACGCCTAAAGCTCAACAAAATGCACAAATAACCCTATTTGTAAAAAGAGGCAAAGGGCTTGAAGAGACACTTCTCCAAAGAAGACAGACAAATGACCAGTAAGCCCAGGAAAGGAGGCTGACCCTTACTAATCATTACAGAAATGCAAAGCAAAACCACCACGAGATACCACTTCACGCCCATTAGGATGTGTGTTATCACAAAGACAGAAACCAACCAGAGAGGACGTTTACAGGCAGGATGTGGAGAAATTGGAGCCCTTGTGCATTGCTCGTGAGAAGGTCAAGGGGTGCAGCCACTGGGGCGAACAGGATGGCAATTCCTCAACAAATTAAGCATAGAATTACTGTATATATATGATCCAGCAATTCCACTTGTAGGTACGTACCCAAAAGAATTGAAAGCAGGGACTAAAACAGATATTTGTACACCCGTGTTCACAGCAGTTATTATTCTCAATAGCTAAAAGGTCCGAACAACTCAAACGTCCAACAACAAATGAAAGGATAAAGAAAATGTGGTCTGTGCCTACAATGGACTATTATTCAGCCTTAAAAAGGAAGGAAATCGGGTGATGGGCATTAAGGAGGGCACGTGTTGTGATGAGCACTGGGTGTAACCCGCAACTAAAGAATCGTTGAACACTACATCAAAAACTAATGATGTACTATATGTTGGCTAACTGAACATAATAATAAAAAAAGAAAAGATCAAAGGGAATTAATGAGAGTGTAACAAAGAGTATCCATTCTCCTTCAAAAAGGCCAGAGGTTATTACTCTGAATTGGTCATGAAGGACATATAATCTCGGCACAATAAACTGGCCTGGCACTAAATAAAATTTGCTATTGTAACCAAAAAATAAATAAAAATAAAATAAAAAGGAAGGAAATCCTGACCCGCGCTACAACATGGATGAACCCGGAGGATATTATGATAAGTGAGATCACCAATCCCAAAGACAGACATGCCGTAGGATTTGCCCGCAGTGGAATTCACAGAGACAGCGAGGACAAAGGTGGTTGCCGGGGGCTGGGGAGAGGGAATGGATGAGCAGAGTTTCGGTTTTACAGGATGAAGAGTTCTGTGGACAGATGGTGCTGATGGTTGCACAACAATGTGGCATGCACTTAAAGCCTCTGAACGGTGTGCTTAAAAATAATTAAGATGAGGGGCGCCTGGGTGGCTCAGTCAGTTAAGTGTCTGCCTTCAGCTCAGGTCAGGGTCCCGGGGTCCTGGGATCGAGCCCCGCATCGGGCTCCCTGCTCCGCGGGAAGCCTGCTTCTCCCTCTGCCTCTGCCCCTGCCCCTCACTCATGCTCTCTCAAATCAATAAATAAAATCTTTAAACAAAAATAATTAAGACGATACACTTTACGTGGTTTTACCACTTTTTTTTTTTTTTTTAAAAAGGATAAAACCCAGCGTGAAGATCAACCTCATGGCAAGAGAAGCTTTGTTCAAAATCGCAAGTATTTGTTCACATGAGATTTAATGAACACCTACTGGTTTGCAGGCCGGGTTGGGCGCTCAGGGAGGGAAAAGAAAGGTCATGCCCAGCGTGAAGATGCTCACACTCGCTCGACTCAGGGGTAGAGGAGGAGAAGGGAAGGCAACGAGGGCAGGCAAGACAAGGAATTTATTAGCTCAAAGCCAAAGGCACAATGGATCAGGAGCCTCACCAGAGATATGTGAACAGGGCTTGGGCTTTAGAGGAAAAAACCAGCCACCTCCACACCACACACAAGATTTAAGGGAGGGAGGTGGATTTCAACCCCACAGACTAGAGAAGGCACTGGGGGCTGAACACATACAGGAGAGGAAAATCTTTACAATGACAGTGTAGCCTGGAAACCAGAGGGAAAGGAAAGAGAGAAAGTTGGCTGCTACACATGAGGCACCTTCTAAAACAGTGCTTAGTAAGAGAATTACTAAAATACACGGAATTAAATCCACCACGGAACCGCCACCTACAGCCAAGGTCTCCAGAGACAGAGAATCCCAGCAAAGAATTTGCATTTCCAGGAATATCCGTATTATTCACACCATGGTTTCTTCTGCACAACATAGCAGGGCTGTTGCCAGAGAACACGGCCGGAGGCCCCAGGTCACCCTATGTGGGGGTCAGGGAAGTGGCAGGAGGGCGGGGCTGCCGCCGAGGGAAGCGGGGTCCAAGGCTGTACCCACGCAGGTCCAAGGCTGGCCCGAACACTACCCCAGTCATGAAAAGAGAGGCTTTCACTTGCTTGAAATGCAGAAATATTTATTTTGGTTTCCTTCATTGTTTTTGGAAATTCTGTTTTGGTTTATAAAACATAGAAATAGCCAACACTTAAAGCAAACATTCAAAACCCCAAGGTGACAAACTATTGACTTTTTTGTGCAAGGAAGAACACACATATGAAGTTAGGCTACCAGATACTGTTACTATGATGACAGTTCTTCGGTGTCAACCCTGTCGTGCCTGTATATAATACACGGAACTCTCACAAACCCCAAACCAGCTGCTTTCAATGTATAAATGACAACCTAATTCAGTCACACGTAGCAAAGACTTGCACTCAAGTGAAATGCAGCTAAATTCCCAAATGAACTTTTTCTTTAAAAGAAAAAAAAAAAAATCCCTTGAGATGTTAATCCCAGAAAATGAGTTTTCCAGATTTCTACCTCCTAGAATTTTGGCTTGTCAAACACATTTCATAAAAATCAGGTAGCATTATAAGAGCATTTGCTTATTACTGTCCATTTCAATAAGTACCCAAGTATATCTATTCCCTTAATAGGTTTAAAGACATGCCCTGCCTGAGAATTTATTCGGGGGTGGAAAAAGCCACTTAATCACAACACAATCTTTTGATATGAAAACCACATTAAAAATCCGTTGGCCATCACAAAGAATGACTGGTTCAGCAGAGATAAAAGGGCCAGTTCATTAGGCGTCACAGTTGAGCATGGGCGATCCAGGTAATTACTTCCTTCTTGAAATGCTTGTCTTCACTGCAGAGTCTAAGGCAGACTTTTTAATAACCCCTGGGAGGGGGTGGGGGGAGTGGGGGACAGGAATCGGGTCTGGAGAAGAGGGTCTGAGGTCATTCTGCTCCGAGGGCGCCGGAAGCCGCCCGCTCAGGTGAGCGCCCATTCATCCGAGACTGACGCCTGTGCTGTTCTGAATCGGATCTGTTCTGTCCCCGGGAGCCTTCTGCTCCGACAGGACATCAGGGACTGCCGACAAGCACGCGCCGCTCCGGGACCCGACAGCAGAAGGCTCGTAGGAGCGCGTGTGAAGTGGGCAAAGGGAGGAGACAGGGGTTTAAAAAAAAAATCTCTGGCCCGCTTGCCACGTTCTCCAGCTGGGACAGTCCTTGCTTTGAAGGGGCAGCTTTCTTCCAGTGCACTGTACCTTGCAGAGCAGCAGAATTTGCAGTAAGTAGCAGACATCTCAGAAATAGCAAAGTCCTAATCCCTTGGTTAGAAAACTGGGAGACAGAAGTTTTCACCCGCCTTTTTTTTTTTTTTTTTTTAAACGGAGGAAGTCTCAAATAACTTAGCACGTGGATCGTTTCCCCTTTATGATTTTAAGGCTCATTTTGGAAATTGTGTATCACCATATACATGGTCTGCAACAGGAGGTGACCGTAAGGCAGTGTTCCGTGTCCTCTAAAATTCTTATGACGAGAACCCCGAATGCACAAGTCAAACGTGGACGCTCCCTTTCCTATGCGCGCTCTAGTCAAAATTACCAACGTGAAGGCCATCAGCAGGAGACTGCGGAGGGGTGTGGTTTCTTCCTGGCATTAAACTTTGATGGTGGAATAAAGTTCGTCTATCTGTGCCCTGAAATAATTCCGAAGCTCGGGCCGTTTTGCCTTCATCGTTGGGGTCAGGAGGCCATTGTCGATAGAAAATAATTCAGGGTGGAGGCTAATGCCTTTGACCTGCAAATAAACGAGGCCATTAAAACAAAAACCGAGGGCAGAATCAACCTGGGCCTAAAAAAGCACGTGGGTCGGAAGGGATTGGAGACCCCATGGCCGGTCCAGTCCCTCCTTGGACTCGGGTCAGCGGGCTCGCTCAACACAAGGCAGGGGCTGCCCCCAGGACAAGATCTGGGCTTGGACCCCGACCTCCAGGGGAAGAGAGTGCCTGCCCTTGGTTACAGAAATCCTCCCCGCTGGCCAAAGCTCGCCCTTACTCATTCCTCATGGGTTTCTTTAGGTCCCCTCGTGCGGCATACCTATTCAGACGGAATCCTCAGGTCAGAAACCTGTTTTGTAGGGGTGCGTGCACGGGTGATGCAAATCTCACCTGTTCAAATGGTTTCAGGCCGGATTCCTTCCCAAGCCTCACCATGTCTTCCAGGATGGCTTTTTTGACGTCCTAGGGAGGTGAGAAAACAACACGCTTGCTGTGCTGGAGATCTCTGAAGGCATGCTCGATGCCAAGCCAAGGTGCAGGAGGCAGACCACACACTCCCCGAGCCTTACCTTGTTCCTGCACAGTTCCTCAAAGGAGCCTTCAAATCCTTTCTTTCGGGCCCAGAAACATAATGTCTCAACATCTGGTACCACGATTGCTATGAGAAATGCCTTTAGCACAGACAAGTGAGTTATTACGTGGCTTGATTCAGATGTTCTGAAATAGAGATTCTTTATCATTCTGCATGATGGACCACAGGAGAATCTGAGAGATGTTACAGACCCTCTTTTTGGAACATATTACCAGCCCCGGGAGTCTACTGAGCCCAGGTTAAGAGCTCCTGGCTCTAAAATACAGACAAGCATCAGGAATTTTGCAATTAAGTGTTTTAAAAGGACCACTAGGAATCAAAACCTAACAAAACCCTAATTTTTATTTACTTTTGCATAAATATTTATATATATATATTTTAATAAAACAGTTACATAAGCAGACAAGATAATGGATATCAAGTAACTGCTTTTAAAAGGAGAGAAAAAAATTTATACAGCTGTTTTTAGATCTCCAATGCCACATTTTTTACAATTTAGTAACAATAAAACTAAATAAAAATCGAAGGCATGTTAAGATTCTAGGTCGAAGAGAGGTGCCTGGGTGGCTCAGTCAGTTAAGCATCTGCCTTCAGCTCAGGTCTCGATCCCAGGGTCCTGGAATCAAGTCCTGCATCAGGCTCCTTGCTCAGTTGGGAGCTTGCTTCTCCCTCTCCCTTTGCTGCCCCCTGGCCTGTGCTCTCTCTCTCTCTCTCTCTGTCTGTCAAATAAATAAAATCTTAAAAAAAGAAAGATTCTAGGTCAAAGAAAAACAGGTATACTCTCAAAGAAAAATCGGTGCATTCCTTATAAGATAATAAAACATTCTTCTACAAGTATCTAAAAGTCTTAAGATTCGTAAAAAGATTAGCTTTCAGGAAACCAGATCACTTTCTCTCCCTTGCCACCATCTGCCCAATATTTTGGCAAAGAGACGTTACACTACAATACTGACCTTGGTTTTCAACTTCACGTATATACCGGCTCACAACCCCCACTGCTCAGACATGATTTAGGAGACACAGCATAAATACGTTGGGTTTAATATGTTGAAAATTCTAAGCTTTCTTATAATCAATCTATCAATATTTCCTTTCGTAGTTTAAATTAGGAGCCTATTTTACCCAGTCCCTAATATCTTTATTCAACTCCCCTTGGTATGCCAGACCACTCTAGTTAGGTAAAATAAAAATATGGAATTTAAAGAGAAAAACTTTTCTGGATGAGAAATGCCAAGCAGCAAACCCCAATAATATTCCAGCATGTCACACGTGAAAGGCAGTTCAATACTCATCGCAGACTTTCCACTGCACTGCAAACGTCCGGAGTTCGAGGCACCAGGCACACCTGTGCAACACGGCTCACACCCCAGAACACACGTACCTGCAAGCTCTCTCCGTGGACAAACACCTGAGCGACAGGTTCACTTCGCAGGTAGATATTCTCAATCTTCTCGGGTGCTATGTATTCTCCCTGTGCCAGTTTAAATATGTGCTTTTTCCTGTCGATAATCTTCAAGGTACCATTCTGTTTATTAGAGGGGGGGGAGGGGCACTGTGAGTGGGTCTGTGGCTGGGGGACGCCCCCCTCTCAGCCCCGTATCAATCACACACAGTCCAGGGCACTTCTCACATGCTTTCCTCTAATCCTGGTAACACTGCCCAGGGGCCAGTTATCAGCCCATTTTAGAGAGAGGGAAACTAAGGCTTGGGGAGACTAAGTAACCCGCCCAACGCCAGTGAGCCAAGTACAGAGAAAGGGACTCCAGAGTCCACGCCCTTCACTTCATCCCTGTAGCCCACTAGCCGCGCTCTGTGCGCCGTGCATCTGCCTCCCCAAGGGTCCGTCATGCTCCTTAAGGGTACAGACACACCCAGAGCGCTCTGCACAGAGCAAGGGCTCAGTAAAAGCTCCTACAGAAAGGCCAAATGCCACCTTCGTCATTGTTTCAAGGCGGAGCCAGGGGTGGGGGTGGGAGGGGCTCGCTCCTGGGCCCCTGGGGCAGGGCCCATCAGTGGCCCACGTGGGGACCGTGGGAAGGATACAACCACTGCCCTGGAAGGGCCAAATGCCATCGCGTCCACCTCTGGTCACCAAAACCCCCAGCTGACTGTCCACCCATCCCACCCCGGGGTCCTTCCTGTGTTTCCAAAGGTCAGCTGTAGGCAAGTTTCTCCGGCTCTCTCGCTGCACGTTGGTTCTGTGCCACTTCCCCAAGGAGCAGCCTGAGGTCCAACGAGATGGTGAAATGTGTTCACTAGAGCCCGAGCCAGAACTGGAACTGACGCCTAATCCCTCTTGAACTTGAAAAGAGGGACTTAATTTATTTCTGAATAACTTCGGTATTCTGAAGTCTGAATTAACTGGGTGGGGAGGAGGAGCATTTTTCAAATCAATAAAAATTTCCGGGAGTGTCGCATACATCGAATCCATAAGAATCGAATGACATGCAATAATAAAACTTGCCTTAGCCATTTTAGTAAGAGCAATTCAACACACTGACAACTTAGAAAAAGCAGCAGCAAGCCAAACTGGTCAAACCCATGGGTGGAGCTTCTTGTAGGTTCTTTTCCCTCCTCTGATGGACCCTGGCCTCTGTCTACAGTAACAATTCTGAGACTACGTTCGAAGGCGTTGGCCTAACCGTGGGACGCTTATCCTATTTTTAATGAGACGACCAGCCTAAGAAACACATATACTTGCAACTTCTTGCCCACCACACCTTCCTGGCCGTCGACCACCATGCCTCGCCTACCTCGCTCAACTAATAAGGCCTTCACGTCGAGGCCCAGAACTGATATAGAAAAAGCCATACATTGTCTCTCTGGATTTCGAACAGGAAGCAGCAACCGGAATTGACGTCATGCATCAAAACCAAACATTCGCTACAGTTCAAGTGACAACCCTACCCAGGCACGCTAAGAGTATAGAACTGTTCCCTGCAGGAAATGGAAGAGGCTCCCCCCTGCCCCCCACAGCAGGGAAAGGGAAAAAGTGAGGTCGCACAACAGCAAACGGCAGAAGGAAAGTATCTGTAAACCAACGAGGGAGGTGAGCACTTACTGGAAGCCACTTTCCAATGTCCCCCGTGTGTAACCAGCCGTCTTTGTCCAGAACTTCTGCTGTTTTCGCTGGGTCCTTCAAGTAGCCTTTAAATACATTTGGTCCTTTCACACACACCTGAAGAGAGACCGTTTGGGAAGGGGGGGTGGTTAGGGGGAAGTGGAGGGAGGGGGTCGAAAGTTCTGGTTAGGAGACCGGTAAGCACCGGGGACCGAACGTACAGCCCGGCGACCACAACTCACACGAACACGTGATTATATTTAACAGTTAAGAGACGAGATCCTCAGAGTCCTCATCGTGAGGAAAAAAAATCTTTTTTTTTCTGTTTTTCTTGTATCTGTGTGAGATGATGGAATATTAACGAGACTTATTGTGGGGAATCATCCACCATAGATGGACGTCAACTCATTATGCCGTTTCCTTTAAACGCATACAGCGTGTATGTCAATGACAACTCGATAGAACTGCGGGGGACAAAGGTGATCTGTAACAGCATTTGCCGGGGGTTCTCCAGAGAGAACGGGTATGTGTGTGTGCGGGGGGGGGGGGGTGCGTATCTCAACCTTTAGCGAGAAGCCCTGAATTCCATGATCCAGAGTGAACCAGCGGAGCCACACTGGGACCCTGGAGGTATGTTCAATGCCCCCGTTCCCTTGTCCTCACGACGTCAGCTGCAGTCAAGTTGTAGGGCTAATGCTTGCCCGGGTTCTGGCTCAAAGCCCCAAAGGGGAGGAAATCACTTTGAAGTCATTAGGCTTTCCTTCCACTAGCCAGTGGCTCACTAATAGGTTTCCAGGGCCATGAGCTGACAGGAGCTGTGCTTCAGGTCTTCAGGCCATGGAGACTTTGCATGCTCTCGAGCCCAGGTCTCTGCGGTGTCTGGCGGAAGAGACATTTGTGGTCCCCCTCCCCCATAAAGGCACCTTCAAAGAGAAGCCTGTTTGATCCAGGATCACCAATAACATCAAGCTCAGAGGCTTTATGGGACACTGCCGAGAAGCGGCCGAGCTACCAGGGGGAAAGGCAATATGGGTGAGCGACTTGGTGGTTCACTCACCTCACCCTCGCCCTTGGAAGCCAAGTAGTTCATTTCTTCCACGTCCACAAGTTTTATAAGGTTGCAAGGCATTGGGGCACCAACATGGCCTGCATGGTAAATAAAAGAATGATCATTCCCAGGAGGACTCCTACTATCCTTAAGCCAAAGGATGTTTATGGCCAACAGGCCTGCTCATGATGGGAACAGCTGACATAAACGTCTGTTTGCAGCGATGACAGCCCAGCTCCCCCAGTAAATGAGCACACAAAGTGTATTTCTAGAATAGAGACAAACATTCACAAGTCTCTTAGGATCTTTCCCCAGTTTGATGCCCCAAATTATTTTTTCAAAGTATGAATAATTTGGCTGTCGATTGTAAGGGTTTCTACAAACACCTGGAAGCAAGCTTTCTAAAACTTCTACCAGGCTCCTACGGTCTGATGGCCCCTGCTCGTCATTTGCCACCTCTCAATCACACAGACTTCTTCTCAACATCCCTACTTTCTCTAAGAAGAGAAAAGACACAACTTTGCCAAATTGGATTATTCTCTCAATGTCATCCGGTTCTGACCAAGATGGTCCTTACTTCCTTAAGTATGAGTGAACACATTTTAGATTTAAATTTATTAAGATAGGATGGTGTAGGGGCGCCTGGGTGGCTCAGTTGGTTAAGCATCTGCCTTCAGCTCAGGTCATGACCCAGGGATCCTGGGATCGAGCCCTGCACTGGGCTCCCTGCTCCGCGGAGAGCCCGCTTCTCCCTCTCCCTCTGCCTGCCCCACCCCTGCCTGTGATCTCTTTCTCGCTCTCTCTCAAATAAATAAATAACATCTTAAAAAAAAAAAGCATCACAAATAATTCCTCCTATGTTTTAATGATGTTTGTGCAAAGAGATCACTGTTCCAAATTCTCTAGGCTGGTAAGGAACCAGGGGTTAAAAATTAAACCAGGAAAAAGGTTCAGAGACTGTTAGTACGAGTCCCAGCAGAACTGTGCTACTAGAGCCTGGACATGAGAATCCATGTTCCTAGACGGTGCTCATATTTATAATATACCAAATAAATTAGTGGTGCTCGCATATCAGAGCCCAGAATGTCCCATCGGTCAGAGCTGGGTTGGAATCCTGGCTCTGAAGCATAATGCTGGGTAAATTCTTGTACACTGTTTATGTGCTTTTTCACCAACACTCGTTTCCTCTCAGAGGTAACAGGACTTAGGCCACGGGGTTGGTGCGGGGATGAAACGCACCCACGTGCTTAAGGGCAGCTGCTCCGCCGATTATTTTCGTATCTGCCTCTCCTTGCGCCTTTTGGGAGAAATGACTTGTCTCTTTCTCTCTGTGGTTTCAACACCCGGCCCAGCACCCAGTGTAGACTCAAGTCAAATTTACCAGCAAATAATTCGACCCCAATCCATTCCCGGAAAGCTCTGTGGGGCCAAACGCTGTGAACCTGGGGGAAAGGGCTTTCATCCCTCAGCTGTCAGCTTCAGATTCTAGGTGAATCTCTTAACACCACCCGCCTTCCAGCTGGTCCTCCAAGCACAGGTGCTCTGCCATAGCAGCCCTTTTCCACGAGGATCCCTGATTTACAAGACTGCCCCAAGGCCTAATCAGTCAAGACACAGAACTTCCATTGGTCAACGAACTGAGGATGAACCCAATTCCAAGAATGCCCACCGGAATAACGAGATCCCATAAGGAGTGTCCCACAGCTCCTACCTGCTGTCCAGTCCCCAGGTACGGTCAGGCAGCAACCGGCAGTGCACTCGGTCTGTCCGTAGCCTTCATAAAACTGGGCCACCAAGAGACAAAACGTGATTAAAGAGAACAGTCACACCTGTGCTGCAAGGGCACAGATCAGGACGTTCTTCTCACTCCTGAGTGATGGCTAACTGTGGGGACGTGTCTCTTTTTAAAATCTGTTCAGAACTACTATGATAGCACCCAAACATCTTCACCCCCAACTCGACACCCCGGCCGCTGTCCACAGTCATCTTCTACTCGCCCTCCTATAGATAGGCCAGGGGGCCGTCGACACGGCCTGACAGGTCACACTGCACACGACCCACCCAGGAATGCACTCGGGGCTCTGGGCGCTCACGGCTGTGCCTCACACCGGTCCTATTGGTTGCCCGGTCTCAGCTGCCTCCTCCACCCCCTTTAAGGCAGGTTCTCTCCAGGGCTTGCAGGTCGGCTTATTACCTGCAACCCATCCCCATGCCCTCAGGCCGGATTAAAGGCAAGTTTCTTGGCTGGTGCTTTACCCGTCTGTGGTGGCCAGAGACGCATCATCTCCTGCCTTGGGGCAAAGACAGACACACTCCTGTCTCTAAGCAACCTGGGAATAACATGATCTTCCAAGCCAAAATGAGATACACACTTATGACTTTTTGGAAAGGAGAGTCCTGGGCTTGAAAAAGCCCAAGACAACCAGCCACATGACGCCCACCTCACCTGACAGCCGAGCGCTGCTCTCAGAAACGTCAGCACGGTGGCGGACACGGGCGCAGCTCCTGTGATCATCAGCCTGACTTTTCCTCCCAGGCTCGACTTACAAGGCAAGGAGAGGGGAGATATTGAGGGGCCGATGGCTGCACAGGGGCGGGCTCCTCAAAGACACCTTCTGGGAACCCGGGGCCCGGATCCACTAGCTCCTTCTCTGCAGGCCGCACGGAGCTCACCAACACGCGGAGAACTCACGGGCATTCAAAAGAGGAAGGCCTGGCTGGAGCTGGTTTCCTCCTGATGCTACACCCTTCTCTCTCAACGGGTATGAAAAACAAGCCAATACCTCTACCTGCAGGTATTTTGAAGGAATTAGAACAAGACTGTGGTGGGTTGGGAGGCAACCGCCACGTGTGGCATTTTGGGGGACAGAGTATTATTATTCCACATTCTTTACCACTGGTGCCTAAGAAATGAGTAACATACTTGTTTCAGAAAAGGAAAGCAAAACAAAAAATTAGAAAGGCCCAGGGTGCCTGGGTGGCTCAGTCAGTTAAGCGTCTGACTCTTGATTTCGGCTCAGGTCATGATCTTGGGGTCATGAGATGGAGCCCCACGTCGGGCTCTGTGCTCAGCGCAGAGTCTGCTTGAGATTCTCTCTCCCCGCCTCCCGTGCTCCCTCTCTTTCTCTCAATAAATAAATCTTAAAAACAAAAAGCAGACTGATGAATCACTGAACTACTACATCTGAAACTATGTTGGCTAATTGAATTTAAATTAAAAAAAATAAATAAATAAAAAATAAATTACAGAGGCTCTACTACCCTGAGGTCTTTTCTGCCTTTCCATGTTACCATGTTGTTCGGGTTTGCATGGGACACTGAGATTTACGTACCGGCTTTGTCCTTAATTTTTAGAAATGTACCCGGATTACTAACAACGTGCCCTCCTCCCTCACCACCGCACCTCGCTTTAAGAAGGAGCCCTCATAGACACTCCGAAGCCCAAGGCAGTCTCCCTAGCAAACAAGAGTTGAGAATGTGGCACCTGTATCTTGTGGAAGATGAGTCTGTCCCACAGGCTATTGTTTCTAATGATGCCACTGCGAAGCTCTGCTTCTTTCCTCTTGGAGGCGAAGTCCAACAGCCATCGCTTCAGCGTGGTGTTTGCCTGCCCAAAAATCTGACGGGTGAAGAAGGAAAAGACAGTTACAAAATGACAAGGATGGTGAGAATCGAAAAGTCAGATAATAACAAGAGCTGGTGAAGATGTGGAGAAACTGGAGCCCTCGTCCGCTGCTGGGGGCGGGGAATGTAATAGGGCGCGGTTGCTTTGGAAAGCAGACTGGTAGTTCCTCAAATAGTGAAACATGGAAGTACCACGGGACCCAGCAATTCTGCTCCTTGGTAAAGTACCCAAGAGAAATGAAAACACGGGTCCACACAGACACTCGTATAGAATGCTCGTAGCATCATTCTGCATGCCAGCCAAGAAGTGACAACAACCCACAGGCCTACTGATGCATGAAGGGATAAATAAAATATGTTCTAGCCATACATCGAATATTACTTGGCCATTAAAAGGGAGGAAGTACTGTCACGTGCTCCCACATGGATGAACCTCGTGAAAGAGGCCAGTCACAAAAGAACACACGTTGTGTGATTCCATTTACATGACAGTCCGGAAGAAGGAAATCTACAGATTCAAAAAGTAGATTCGTTTTGCTTGGCGGTCGGAGGGGGTAGAGGACAGCTACTGGGCAGAGCCAGGGTTTCCTTCTGAGGTGATAAAAATAGGCTGTGGTGATGGTTGCAGAACTCTGTGAATATGCCAAAAACCTCTGAATTTTACACTTTAAACGGGTGAATTATATGGAATGTGAATTATATATCACAATCAAGCTGTTTTTAAAAGTTTTTTTTTAAAGGACCATTAAAAAAGAGAGAGAGAGGGGTTCTCATAGATCACAGAAGCCCTGCCTTATGATAAAGAGCATGAAAACTGCCCCGTCCAAATTTATCTTGAAGGCTGCTCATGTCACAACCCTGGTCTTGCCCGGGATGTGTGGTCCATGCCATAATGACCCCCCACAGAGGGGCTGGCATTCTCTCCATCCCTGGCTTGGCTTGTCACTTCTTTCCATGTGGCTAAGTAATGTTACATGTGCATGGGCATTACAATTTCTAGAACCATTTCATAGTTATAGTCATCATGGGATGCACTGAGCAACTTTATGAGCTAGACAGCAGGAGGAGGAGGTACCATAGTCCATCATGCAGATGAGAAAATAGAGGCTCTAAAGAGTTTACGGTACAAATAATATGACCTTCCATCTTCCACCTGTATGGCCCTTCCAGTTTACAAAGTATGTTCACCTGTTTTCTCTTATCATCTTCACCAAAGGCTCTGTGAGGTCAATGCATTCAGGCTTTACCGCTGGGTAAACCGCACTTTTTCGAGATCGCGTACAGAAGGTACCCGGAGGGCCCAATTCAAACCCAAGTCTCGGACTCTGGGTCCAGTGCTCTGTCCCCCACTCTGCTGCTCCTTGGAACTTACTCGGTCAAACATCCGGTTCAGCAGTCTGGGGACCACAGGAAAGACTGTGGGTTGAAGTGCCTTGAGGTCATCCATAAGCAGCCTGATATCTCCTTGGAAAAATCCTATTTTAGCTCCATGACACAGCATTACACACTAGGGCAGTAAACAAAAATAATCCACATGTCGTCATCAAAGCAGGGACTACGCAACATACACACAGACACACAAGGCTTCTGTTTTAGCATTTGGACCAGTTTCCAGAGACCATTAAGTTCCTGCATGTCGACAGCTTTTCAAAAAAACGCTCTTGCATTCCCTGGTCATTGCACAACATCAAAGTGTGGTTTTTTTCTCTTGATCCCCCTGAAGATAAAGGAGCTGGTAAGAAACCAGACTATGTTGTTTTTAGTGATAATCATGGAGCTTCTGCTGTTTTAGCTTGAGGATAAATAGCTGGTGAATGAATGACACGGTGTCATATAATCCAAATATTGTACTTGCCTGGAAACTTTAGGCCTAATTTATTCCCCCAAAACTTAGCTACTTGCAAACTTGGCTATTTGCCAGCTTATTAAAGTCTCATTTTTAAAATCTGAATCTCACGAAAAAATGTCTGAAAGGCCGCTGACTCTGTTGCAGTTCAGACACTGGGGCATCAAACAGCAGACTGGCTTGACTGTTCAGCTATAATCTACTGCACGGATTTGTTCCTGCCCGATGCAGATCGCACAGGCAAGCCATATGCACTTGACCCACAGTCAGCCTATCTTAAATTTTAAAGAGAAAGAGAGATTCAAAAGATGATGCCACGGACGTACAAATGGTCTCAGGCTTGAAAGCAGAAACCACTGGAAACGTACACCCTGGTTCATGGCTTAAAGACTCAAGCTCAGGGAGTGTGCTCCCAGGCACACTTCCAAAACCACCATTAGGTGTATATGGGCCATTATCAACTCATTTGAGATCGCTTTGGAAAGTCACAAGATCTCCTGAGGTGTGCAGGAGCCGAGGTAACAGGTGCAAGATGGGATCTCGTGACCCTTGATCCTTTAGGGTAAGTGCATCCTACGGGCCAGCAGCCAATCAAAGGGCCGCTCGCTCTCAGTGAGTCACCTCTCGATTTGTCTCGGTCACTGGCACCTCGCACAGTGCCTGGCACACAACTGGTGCTCAATAAATATTTGTTAAATGAATGAATGGTGCCCACTGTTTTTTCCTAGAAGTATATGATCCAACATTGCCCAAGAAGGAGAAGTGATGGTTCTCGTCACAGTTGTATACACTTGACCCAGGCCAAGGTTAGCTAAAGATCATCCTGCTTTTCCAAGGGCACTTGGAATATTGGTGAAAAAAATGAATCTTAGGCCGACTTGTGCATTATGAACAAGCCTAGTGAAAACCGGAAGCTATTTACAGAGGCAGAAGCTTCATGAGGCTTTGCAGGATGGCGTTCATAAAAATTCTACTTTTTACAGTTAATCTTTCTGGAATCATGCCCACGTGCATAGCCTTCAGAAGTCTGAGCGTCTAATTTTAAAATGAATGATTAAAGTTCAAGTATTCAGACCACCCCCACTTCCACTCCCAACATTTATACTCTCTTAAGTAATTGGCACCATTTCTAAAATGGGGCTGAGCAAAGAATTCTCTCTGGGGATGACAGTCTGCCCATGAAAACTTACCTGCAGCAGCTGCTCATACATGTGTGCAAGTGGTAAAAACGAAATGTGTGTGTCACTGGCATTCAAGGCAAGAACGCTCTGTAAAACACAACAACTTAGCAGAACACCAACAAACGAGCAAGCACAAAAAACAAAACAAAACAAGGCCTACCTCTACAACTCTTTCAAACATATGGGCGAGAGGCAAGAAAGATATCAAAGTATCATCTGGGGAAGGGTTGGCTGTATTCTGTAAGCAAAGACACCAGCAAGGAGAGAAGCATTAAGATTCCCAGTAATTTCCCATTTTATTTCAGAGCACACAATACCTTAATGCTAAGGAGAAGTACCGTTTGCTTACAATCTGCAGTTACTTCTCACCAAAGGATGAAATGAAAAAGCAACACTTTAATGCTTTTAATTATTCAATCGGAGTGGAGGTCGTTCCTCATGGTAAAGTAAACCCACTCCAGGCTTTAGTCCAAATAGGGAAAATTTTGTCCAAATTGGGATATTAATTAAGGGATCATGTGCTTTAATCATTTAGTATTTCAAAGTCACCAGACCCCACTGTCCAGCAAGCTCAATTCCACCTTAAGTAAGAAATAAAGGGTCCATTCCAACAGAACATAGCATATTATGTTGTGGAAATGAAAGATCTAGTCCAACATAAAATAGCATTTTATGTTGTAAAGGGATAGGAAGAGGGAAGATAAGAGAAATGGATTTCCAGGCTGCTTTAATTGATCGTATGAATGCATTTTGAGCATTTTAGTTTGATCAACATCTTTACCTGAATGGCCTGCTTTACACCCCACGAAAAAATGCCTCGGTTTGTTTAGTGCAAGCTCTGATCTGATACCATCTCCTATGAAATGCTGGTTTGTGATAGAGGTCTGCATCAAGGCTGAGCTGGACATCTGGTTTCCATTGCAAGGCTAAGAATGGGCTTTACTCAGAGCCAGGCAGAGTGAGGGTTTGCGCGGAATGTTCACGTAAGGAATTCTGGCCAAGCAAACCCAGCAACCCCAGAAGCATGTGATGTAGCCTGAACCTGCCACAATCTTAGATTAATTGTGTTCAAGTGTGATCTGCATCCCGACTAGTTCGTCTCAGGAGGAAACGGTTTATATGAGAAGTCAGACTCGGTAATTTCTACACTTTTCAGTTTTCTGATTTGGTACCCCAAGAAATGTGCATTAGCAAGATTAGAAGTTTTACGAAGTTGAGAATGCCCCGATCATATGATTAATTTTAAACAAAGTCTGTAATCATTTGCCTCAGTGAGCCACGAGTGTATTTTAAGTTTTCTTCGGAGGCTAATTAGGCAATTAAAGTTCCACCTAGGTGAGGTACTAAATGTTGAATTCTGTTTATGAAATACACGCCAAAAAAGGTATCTGGGACTAAGAAAGTGTGAGTGTAGGCGGGAGTGACATGGGCCTTTGTGTGGCCACCAAAGACACGCAGTCCCCAAAACCGCTGGGCGTGGGGGCTCCTGTCGTGAAAATGGGGGCTCACAGAAGAACCCTCCCAGAGACTGCAAAAGCAAATTATATAAAATGTGCAAAGGTATGAGGGAAAGGCATCATATTCCCCAAGAAGTACTTTTAAAACTCAAGTGTGAAATATACCCTTGCTGCTATGACCGAATTGTATCCCCCTCCTCCCCAAATTCGTGTTAAAGCCCTGACCCCCAATGTGGCTGGATTTGGGGATGGAGCCCTGGGGAAGGTAATTCAGGTGAAATGAGGTCACGGGGTGGGGGACCTGACCCAGGAGGGCAGGTGTCCTTGCAAGCAGAGGACGACCTCTCGCTCATTCTCCATGCACACACAGAGGAAAGGGCAGGCGGGGGCACAGTGAGGGGGGGCTACCCACAGGCCAGGAAGAGCGCCCTCACCGGCAACCGAATTTGCTGATACTTTGATCATGGACTTCCAGCCTCTCGCACTGTGAGAAAATAAGTATCTGCCGTTCAAGCCACTACGCCTGTGTGATTTTGTTAGGACCACCCAGAAGCCTGGGACACCTGGGGGGACAAACTTTAAGGTTCCAGGAAACCAATGAAAGTTTAAGGCTTTAATCTTTCTTATAAAACGGAAGTGAAGTCAACTGTGATAAAGTATAATAATTCAGAAACCTTCCGTGTACCATTTAACATTTCATTTGTCCACTTAAAGAAATTATTTTCCCCACACTGGAACAGTAGGTAGGTAAGAGCACGAGAGAGCCATTCCTTCTTGGTCCTGTCCTGGAAACACTTATAGGGCAGTATCCATATAAAGTTGTACCCTATAAAAGTTATAATAACTTCTGTCAGTTCAGCTTTATGGTCACACGCAGCAGTTGGGAGATTAGGTCCACAATGAAAACAATTTGAGGGCAGGTGACCTCAGATCATATTAAAGCTCAGATCTTCTCTCTACCTCAAATACAGCAGGGGCCGAACATGGCGGGGCTACCTTCACCACTCTCAGTCTTGAGGCCTCATGCCAACCAAAGAACACAAAGAAAGATGACAAAATCCCCACAGTTTACCTCTGTGACTTTCACAAAAGCTGAACAATCGCTCACTACATTTCGATGAGTGATCAGTGCTCCTTTGGGGTTGCCTGAGGAACACAGAGGAGCAGAGCAAAGTTAGAGAAAGTCCATCCAAAAGTGAAATTAAGGAAGCCAAGGACCCTGTATAATTGGGTTATGCCCCTAGCCTTAGGTGCACCCAGGAAAGCCAAACATTGAATGACCTTACATTCCGGAACAATCTGCCATACTTTACATGAAACTTTTTATCATAAACAACCTTTATTAACACAGGTGACTTTTAGAGGGCACGTAAAAGGAGAAAACGCAGGAATTTTATTTCTGGACATCAAATGTTGGTTTGTCCCAGGAAATGGGGAATCTACTGTTGCCTTCCATAATCGTCCGAGGAAGTACACGGCACGCTCAGGTTCTGAGAAGGTCGGATACGGCAACAAGGGAAGAGCGCTCGAGCCCCTCTGGGTCCTCTGCTTTCGGTCCATCTGTAGCTCAACTAAGTCCCCCGTCACCCACCATCCAAGAAAAGGGGCAGGGGGTACACACTTCCAGATCCACTCAGAAGCGACCACATTTCAAACTTACCCGTAGTGCCACTGGTGAAACAAATGACCGCAAGATCTTCAGGTGCTGGAGGCTACAGCACATTAAACAAAACAAACAAGACAAAACACAACCGAGGTGGTATAAGTCAGAACCGAAAAGAAAACTGTTAAGAAGCCATTTGCTAACCCCCAAGATCTGTACTAGTCTCGGAGACAACTAGATATTGGAAGGGCTGAAGCAGGGGGCTGACATGATGAACTTACCTTCGGCCTCTGTCTGTTGGCTCTTCCCAGGTCCTTAATAAGAAGAGAAAAATGAAATCTTAAATGGAAATATTTTCTAAATGTAAAGAAGAAGGTGACATCCAGTCACTTCCAGCTGACTTTACTGTGGGATTCACTTATCGCTGGCTCAGACAACAGACATTTAAAATGAAAGAAACTGGCAATTTTAATAAACCTGAAGCGAAATATTTATGCGTTGTTCTCAGACGCCATTTTCCAGTTGTCTTCTCTCGTACATAAAACCATACAAATGGTATAAGGACTAGTCTTTGAACAGGATTTACTCAAAAGACAGGAATCAGAGTCTTTGACAATGGATTTCTTGCCCCCATTCCTACACCCTTTCATGGCCTTTAGCAAAGCCCGGCTCTTAACCAACATCAAACCATAATCATAACACAAGAACTGACGATGTTCCGCATCCTCCCAAAAATCACCCAATTCTGGGTAACTGGCATCTTCTTCAGTCTGGAGAGAAAAACCAATCTCTGCCAGATGAAATGCTAGAGGCTCAAATATCTGTACTCCCCACATGGAGTGGATGAAAAAAAAAAAGATTTGGGAACCCTCAATTATAAAACAGTCCTCTTGAATGGACATAAAGAACAGCAGGTTCATTTCTGAGGGGCGCATCTCTCAGCAGCTGGCTTCCCCGTCACTACCAGGGGGTCATTTCGATGCTCTTCAGTTCACTGCACAGAGGCATCTCTGTGGCCACTTTAATTAGCTATTAATTTTGCTAATGAACCATTTATATTCTTTTCCTATTAAAACTGAATGGCTTGAATGAGCATATGGAGTGAGCATGCCTAGAATTAAATGGAAATCTGATGAATGTGCTCAGGGCTCAGGGAGTTTCTGCCCGGTGTATGGTTTTAAACTGTTTTTAATCTTAATTACATTTTAAATTATATCTATAAACAGACCACTGATTCAAAATAGGAACAGAGAAGTCCGAAGAGAAGTCAACCAAGAGCTGAAGCAATGGTAATTCCATTTTTTTTTCCCAAAAGAATCTTCATCAGACCCAAATCTCCACTCGTCTGTTCAAAATTCTTACATAACCTCAGTAGTTACATGCGATTTGGCTTTTAATTTATCAGGATCAAACATTATCCAAATGAGTGCCCTATTAGCCAAGAAAGTCCACGGCCTCAGACCTAAGGACAGTATGTGGAAGAGAGGACAGCGACCATAAAAATAAATGGGTTCCCATCTTCAGGCTCTAAATGCCAAAAACAAAACACTTTAACCAGAAGAAAAACCGAATTCTGGTTAATGATTAGCATGCTGCAGTATTTAGGGGTGACAAAGACTAGAAGTTAATGAAAATGCATTAACATAATAGATTCATGAACGAATGGAGGGACGGAGTGGGGCACCAGTACATGATGAAGCAAATATATCAAGATGCTAGCTGTGGGGTGCTTGGGGCTTGTACGGCAGTCTACTGCTCAATTCTCCCAACTTGCTTGCCTGTTTGAGGATTTTCATAAAAAAATACCAAAAAAAGCAAAAATTCCAAATACCAATATTTCTCTTTTTGATCCTATAAAACTATCTATTACTATAAACTTGATCATACGACCAACCACAGAGCCAATTTTAAACCCACATCTTGAAAATTAACCTTTTGCTTACAAAATTTTTAAAAAGCAAGTATGAATCATAGTACACGGGGAAGTGTAGAACAGTGTCTTTTATAAAATAGAGCTTTTAATATAAACTTCATATTACAATCTTAACTTACCTAAATTTTTTCATCTTAAAATTACCTCATCGTAGAGCCGTCGAAAAATACCAAAAAATTCCTGTGTGTATATGCGTGTGCGCGTGTGTGCGTGTGCATGTTTGTGTGGTGGGGTTAGGGAGAAGCAGGAAAGAGGGGAGGAAATGATGACATTATTGTGAGCAGCGATCAGACGTGAAAAAACAAACGTGCAGAAACACTAGGTAGAAAGCTAGCTAAAAGCCCAAGTAAACGGTATACCACACCCGTTCTTAAGGACTCAGCTTCTCTGCTACTCTGTGTGCGTGCATGTGTGTGCGCGCGCGCACGTACGTGTGTGTGTGTGTGTGTGTGTGTGTGTGTGTGTGTGTACAGGTATGTGGCAGAGGCTCTGTTAGAACAAATTACAGTTTCCCTATGAAGGCTAAGTTCCTCCGTAAAGGTATTACATAGATCCTAGTTTGTAGCCTCCAATTCCTTGTAGAAGGAGAACTATAAATAAAATTTGAAACCCTATTTATAACAGTTCCAGGAAAATGTTTATAACATTTTCGGAAGGAGAACAACTTACCGTATTTAGCCTATTCCAGTGATAGGTACCTGACAAGATCCAGCTCTTACCAGCTTCTTGGGATTAAACTCTAATCCAAATCCTACTGGGAGAATCAGCTTCTTACACGATGTGATGTCAAACAACCAATTTAAACATAGGCCCCACTCATTTTCCTAGAATGGTTACCTTTAAAGTTTTGATTAATGTGAATCTTAAGAAATTTAATATAAAAATAAACCAAATCCAACATCTATGCTAGAAATTCACAACTTGGGAAAAAGAATAATGAGGCAGATTTCTGTAGCTGGCTCTGTTTTAGAAACAAATCAGTAAGTAAATGGCATGAAAGCGTATAAGAACATACAAACTTAAATCTCTGCCTGAATTGGAAATGCACATTTCTACCATATATTGGCGTGGCTTGTCAGTACTCTAGAATAAGTATGTGAGCACTGCAACTTGCTTTATGAGAATACTTTCTATGTGATGAGTTCACTGTGGGGCATGCGTGTAGAATTCTTCTTTCCAGTAAGGAGACAGGAATTTCCACTCTGCATCTGTTATGGGCTGCCGAGCTGGGATTGTGTGATTGCAAAGGATACCACATTTGAGCCAAAATGGCCTCAGGGGCACCTATCAGAGAAGTGGGCAGGATGACTCACCTCCATTGCCTTCATACTGATGATTTCCACGCCACACCTTTTGCCTCGTTCCAACAGATCGATGCCATAGGAGTCCATGAGGACAATGGTTTTAAGGCCTGGTGTTAACTTATTTTCTACACCATCTAATAAAAGGTTGGCCTTCTCTGGCTTGTCAACAAAAACCAGAGAGAGTTCAGCTGGGAAGGAAGAGATACAAGGAAGAATGAGCTTTGAGATATTAAAAGCCTGACTGTATCTGACATCTGACACCAGGTTATTTTAAGGACTACAGTCTTTGAATAGAAAGATAGATGTGCATTTAAACATAAAATCCCGGGGGCGCCCGGGTGGCTCAGTCAGTGAAGTGTCTGCCTTCAGCTCAGGTCATGATCCCGGGGTCTGGGGACTGAGCCCCATGTTGGCCTCCCTGCTCAGGGGAGAGTCTGCTTCTCCCTCTCCCTCCGCCTCTCCCCCGGTTCTTATACTCTCTCTCTCTCTCTCTTCCTCTCTCTCTCTCAAATGAATAAATAAAATCTTTAAAAAAATAAACATAAAATGCCTATCAAATCAAATATAACCAAATGTAAAGTGACCAAATCTAGCTGATAACTAGGCCAACGTCCACCCGGAGACCACAGACATACCTTTGTTGACTATGTAGGTGATTGCTTCTGTTCCAAGGGTATCGTAGAGGGGAACGATCACCATAGAGTAAGCAAAGCATCCCTGTTCAATGATCACCCACTAAATGAACAGTAAAGGTCGGGGGGAGAAAACGAGATGTCATCATGGAACCACTCCAAGGAGAACAACACTCTAGAGAGATTCAAAGTGGAAACACGAGACGTGGCAAAATTCACATTTGTGTGTCTACTACTATGTGCCAGGCACCATGAGAGACTCATCATGAGAACAAAACACCTGCCCCCTTCTTAGAAGGAAAGAGCAATCTGCCAGAAGAACTGAGGCAAATATGTGAAAAGCTAATTAACAATACAAGAGAGTGACCGACGTGGACACGAGGGAGCCCACGGTGGGCCACCTTTGCGGGGAAGGTAACTGAGCTCACCCTTTGCCAAGGCAGCACGGTTTGGACAGAGAGAAAGGCAAGGAGACCTCAGTAGTGGGGACTGCATGATGGAGAGCAGGGAAGAGCAGGGTGAGCACCCTGGCCGGAATGGGTGTTCCAGTAGGCAAGGCTATGGTGGGCAGGAGCAAGGCCGCAGCGAGGGAGGGGCCTGGCTCCATTCCCCGGGGGATGCACAGCTGCGGAGGGCTTCTCAGCACAACAGAGGCCCTGGGGCCCAAGGAAGATCAACCTGGCAGCTGTGTGCAGTAGGACCTGGGGACTGGGGAGGGAGGGACACACACTTGCGTAACAGGAAAAATGTTCTGGCAAAATCTTCCCAGAAAAGTGACGAAGGGAAAGACGTGATACAGTAACTGGTCCCCTTGCCTCTAAACTCATCAGCCATGTGGCAACTACTCAGTCTACACAGCAAACATGGTGAAATCAGCCTTTCACTTAAAATGCTTGGCGGCACCGTTACCTCCAGCTGCAGTTCCGGGAACCCCCTGCAGAATGCCGACGCGCGGCACAGATAAAGATGTCGCTGCTGTGGGAAGGGTGCATGACACACTCATATTCCCTCGGCCCAGAACTATTTTTCCCCCTTTGCTTTCCTGGCACCAGTGTGAAGCTGCGAACATGGAGGTCAGGTCCAAGCTCCTCAGCAGGGTCATGTGGTACATGCAGTCCTGTCTCTCCTGCACCTCCAAGCTCTACCATAAGAAAATGCCTCCTTCCCCAACACAGCCATGCTGCTTGATGCAAACATGTGCTTGTTCCTGACATTCCCTTGGCTCCCCCACCCTCATATTCTTCAACACGCCCCTGGAAGGCCACCTCCAGGAAGTCCTCCTTGACTGAGCTCCCATAATCCTTTTTCCCTGTGTCCACACTTACCACACTACAGAGAAAGCATCAGCTTATGGGCCGGTGTTCCCTCACATGGTACCTTACGAGGAGGATCCAAGTCACTGTGGTGCTTTGGAGCCTCACAGTGCCTGGCATATAGCAGGTGCTCAATAAACATTTATTAAACTCGCTGATAAATACAGGAAGGAGCTTACTCTGTGAAGTAAGGAATACCTGTCCTCGTGATAGATTCATTGTAAAATTCCACTCGTGCAAAAATCTGGGTTGTGTTCCCTTGAAGGAGTTTTCCTTGCGATGAAAGAAACTAAATTTCATGAGCCTGGTCGTCCAGCTGTGGGAAAATGCTCTTTTTTCCCTTGCCAATACATAAAACTGTAGGAAACCATCCTCATTTATAAAACAGTCAGTAGCACAGGGATGGAGCCCACACGTCTTTTGGACACAAGAATCAATTCAATTCCTTCAAGCTTAGGTGCTTGAATTTTTCCCAGCCAAGTTATGCCACTAATTTGTTCATGAGCGCTATAAGCAACAGCTCCAAAAGGGCTTCCCCCATAAACTGACCTTTAATGCAAGGATCTGCAGTACAGTGCAGCGGACTTGACAGCCAGATAGACTGCACACCCACATTAAGGCTGACTCACGGTCAAGGCACTTTCCCCGCTGCTCAGAGTATTTTAAATTTTGTAACCTGATCAGAGGGCAAGCTCCTACCTTTCAGAGAGCAAAGAGGAGAGTCCGCAACTGACAAAAATGTGTCCAAGTTTCTCTACAATTTACGGATGCTATTTTTCTAATCACAGACAGAAGCCTTAAGGTAAGACGATTCTTTGTGAGTTATTTGTTCTAGTAACCTCTTTGTTAGTTTTTGTTTGGGACCTGGTTTTAAAAAAACAAAGCCAACAATCCAAAAAGTGATTCCCCCTACCCACTGCAACATAAAGGCCAAGGAGGCCTTGGCTTGGGCTTTCATATGTGGCACTTTTTAAAAAATTTTATTTATTTTTACTTAAATTCAATTAACATATAATGTATTATTGGTTTCAGAGATAGAGGTCAGTGTTCATCAGTCTTATATAACACCCAGTGCTCACTACATCACGTGCCCCCCCTTAATGTCTGTCACCCAGTTACCCCATCCCACCACCTCCCCTCCAGCAACCCTCAGTTTGTTTCCTATGGTTAAGAGTCCCTTATGGTTTGTCTCCTTCTGTCATTTCATCTTGTTTTATTTTTTCCTCTCTTCCCCTATAATCCTCTGTTTTGTTTCTTAAATTCCACCTATCAGCGAGATCATAAGATAACTGTGTCACTTTCTAAGGAATAACACAGAGACATATATTCTGAGTAGAGATCAGAGCACAAAATTAGGTCCCAGGCAAAGGTAGGTGTGACCTCCCAACTGGCTCTTCCATCTGAGAACTCTCAACACCACACACAATTGTTGTCTCATGGTCAATACCTCAGGCCTGTTCTGAGCGAAGATGCCAATGAACTGATCCGGGGCAGCCTTGAAGCCCTTCTGGATGAGTGCTGAGCCCACACACTCGGATATCTCTGCAACCTAGAACAGGGAGGACAAACACCAGGAACTGCGTCAGGCCCAACGCAAGGAGCAAAGCTCACCGGGTGACAGCCAAGCCTGACATCTTGGCCAGCAAGCAGCCCCACACCGAGGGGGAGAGCGGGAGCAAACAGGCACTCCTTTTGCTCTACATTTTTGTAAAACGCAAGGCCTGTTTCACCGGAATGCACTATTAAGGAAACTGATCACAGGGTTCCTCCGGTGAAGCGGGCGAATCAGATCCCGACAGCTGCAGGTCACAGAACAGTGGATGCCAGGCCTTCTTACACATTTCTATTTTATACTTTAGTTTTATAAAATTATAGAAGTAGTACAAGGACACAGAATTATAATTATTATTATTACTGTGACTATTGGTAGTTATAAAGAGCAGCAAAGCAGCCAAAACTTGTCATTTGCTATAAATACAGAAAGAGCAAATTTGGGGGACACCTTCAAAAAATGTGTAACAATTTTAAGTAAAATAAATAAATAAGAAAATAAATGCTCTTATTGAAAGTAAAAACAGGCAGATTCATAACAATTGGGTAGGACTATAAACCTGGCTCTGTCCTCTCCCCATTCCCGTCCCAAAGTAACTAAAAAAAAATTTGTTTTTAATCTTCAAATTTGGAATAATTTTCTTGATTCTCAGTTGCTGGCTTCTCAAGAACACTTTGAAATTGCACCCACGCCTGTAGGGAATAAAGCCACACCTGTGCTGGCCCCGAACTCTATTTGTCCTGGCACGTAGCGCCACTGCACTCTGCCTATGGGAAGGAGAGCTGACACAGGTGAGGTGACAGCAAAAATGATATGCACATGCTTATTGGTTTTCTACCCACAGCCTGTTTCACAACCTCTGCTTGCACGTCGGGGATGGGAACCCAGGAAATGCTGCCGTGGTTTGCAGAGCGTATCGGGATAATCTGCAGGCATTTCTAGCTCTAGAGAGAGGCTCCGTACCTTTCTTGAGAAAACCTCAAAGGGGCTCCTAGCCCCACAAAGGTCAAGAGTCGCTAGGCTAACGAAAACATTTGAATGTACAAATCCAGAGTTGGCTTCCATGGGTCTAGTTTTATTTATTTATTTTTAAAGACTTTATTTCTTTGATAGAGAGCACAGCAGGGGGAGCGGGGAGAGGGAGAGGGAGAAGCGGCTTCCTGCGGAGCGGGGAGCCCGATGCGGGGCTCTATCCCAGCACCCTGGGATCATGACCTGAGCCGAAGGCAGACCCTTAGCCGACAGCCACCCAGGCGCCGCCCCCCCCAACCCCCGCCCCGTGGGTCTAGTTTTAGATCATCTAGTTTTAGATAGCCTCTCGCTGAAATGTACAAAAACACAGATTAACGCCTTCAGAAAATGCAGTGATATTCAATCCACCTCAAAAAATCCAATTTGCCATGGACTTGCCTTCTCTGCCTTCCAGCCAGCATACAACAGAAGGAACCAGACAGCACTTGGGGATTCTGTGAGGCCTGAAGCCCCACCATGCAACATTTATGTGTCCAACACACATCAACTGTTTATACACCATGTATGAAAATGAGGAGGCTCTGCAGCAACTTTATTTTGGCTCTGGTAATGCAAAATAAAAGGAGTGGATTCCCTTTGGCCCCTGGGGCTACACAGCTCATCGCTCCTTCCATAAGGAAGGGACACCGAGCTGTTTTGCCTCTTTGCTCTCTGTCAAGAGCTATGCAAGCAAAGCCTTTGCATTTCATTCCTCCTCAGAGGAGTGCAGGGGAAGAAAGTGTGGTGTGTGTCTCAGTCTAGGGAGGGCCTCAGGAGTTCCTTGTGGCTCCTTGTGGCTCCTCGTGACCATCCCCTGTCACGTACACTCCAGAGCGTGCCAACTGCTAGAAGCACCCTTCACACCAAACGGGGAAGGAGGAAGCTCATTTGTATTCACGAATGCCACAGGACGACCTGCCCTAGAGCACAGAGCCGTTTCCTGGACAGCTGTGCTGGAAACAAAAGGCAGCAGAGCGGACACTTCCAGTGGCTCCCATACACCCCTGGGGTCCTACATCCATGGAGGGGGAGGAGCAGGAGCTTCGAGATATCCTGTTATCATGATAAAAATAAAAAGCAATGTCTTCCTGCTCTGCTCCCTGCTGTCAGAAACTATTTAAACAGCTGCAGCTGTGGATCAGCTGGGCTTGCAGAGGGACAAGAATAAATCCACCCAGATCCCAGCTTCCTTTGTGCTTGTACGGTACTGCAGGTGTCACCCCTGAACCTCTGTACCTCTCGCTATGGCTGCCCTGGGGTTCAATGTCACACCAGCCCCAAGCTGGTCAGGTTCATATGATGCACTGAAGAGCCCTAGACCAGAAGATGTGGAGCTCACTTCCAGTCCTGTTTCTGCCACTGACCAGCTGTGACCTTAGGCGAGTCCCATCCTTTGCTAGGGGATGTTTTCTCATCTATAAAATGAGAGAGTTGCTCTATACTGGAGCTTCTAAATATCTCTATTACCCGACAAGGCAGAGAATTTCTATCCCCCCATGGGCTCTGGGAGAGAGTCACCTGCTTCAAGCACATTTCTAGAATGTCATCATAGAATTATATTCTACCCCACAACGCATCCACTTAAGTTCTACAGGAAAGTGCTTTTGACCCACCAATTAAGTTACTTAACCAGTCTTTCCCAAATCTTTGTGTAAAACTTCTCCCTTTGGATGATACATGTTTACCCCAGAGCTCTGAGCTAGTCCAGCGCACAGATTCTATAGCAAGTTTACAGCCCTCACAGTCAGTGGTTCCAAGAATGGATGGATTTCAGCCCCACGGCATGCATAAGGACCCAGAGAACCAGAAAACTCACCTGTTTGTATGAAAGCCATTCGTAGGGTTGGTCTGGCTTCCGAGAGCCTAAACATGGGCCGTTATCTAAAAAAAGGAAAAAAAAGGAAAAAAACAAAAAAAAATGGATTTAACATGCATAAATATTCTAATTTGTATCCCACTTTATTCTACAAAGTATCAGGTAGACTTTGGTCCCCAGATTAGAAATAAGGAGTTCAGACTGGAAATGTGTTCTCCCTGGGTTCTAGTCTGATGTTTTGTTTGTTTCTGTTTTGTTTCTTAAATGGGGCAGGAGAAGAGGAAAAATAAGAGAATATGAGGCAGGGGAGCCCGAGTGGCTCAGTCGGTTAAGCCTCTGCCTTGGGCTCGGGTCATGATCCCGGGGTCCTGGGATCGAGTCCCACATCAGGCTCCCTGCTCAGTGAGGGGGGTCTGCTTCTCCCTCTCCCTCTGCTGCTCCCCCTGCTTGTGCTCTCTCTCTCACTCTCTCTCAAAGAAATAAATAAAATCTTAAAAAAAAAAGGACATGAGGCAAATACAATTTTTAAGGACACTCAGTTTGTGAATTCTTCCATACCCTATTGATTTAGAAAGGAGTCAGTAGCTGCATGGTAAAGAAATCCTGGTGTAGATTTTCAGAAGAATTCCTCAAAATTTCTAACGTGTGAAGCATTCTAACTTAGGATATAAGAAGGAAAAGATGACTCTTAATTGCCCAAATTCTGACGACCTGGGATGGGCTTACACGGGTGAAACCTTAATTGCAGAGAAACAAAAATGAGGAAAAGAGGCTAAATCAAGAGAAAATAAGGGGATATTTGTGAAAGCAAAAACTAAAGAAATATCAGGATGTGCCCTGACTCTAACTTACATACTGAGTAAGTAGGAAGCAAGAAGACCCATATTAAGTATTCACACTAAGGGCTAGCATAGTAATAAATATCACTCGAGTCGTTTATATTTGGAATCATGGGATTCCTTCTACAGATTAACTCCAAGCTCACTTCATGCTCAGTTTGTAGCTGTTGAAGGAAAAGCTACGTCCACCTAAAAAAAGAGAGAGAGAGAGAGAGAGAGAGAGAGAGAGAGAGAGAGAAAGCTGCCATGTTCCGATGATCAGAGCTGACCACATACAAGAATGCTGCCTAACTAAAACCCAGGCTCACCCAACAGCTTTGTGGTAGGCTGGGCCTCCTCACTCTTTCTACAGCGTGTTTTTTGTCATCTCCCCTCTGGAACAGGGGATCTACATTTCTGTTTTGTTTTGTTTTGTTTTGTTTTAAGATTTTATTTATTTGACAGAGAGAGACACAGCGAGAGAGGGAACACAAGCAGGGGGAGTGGGAGAGGGAGAAGCAGGCTTCCCGCGGAGCAGGGAGCCTGAGGCGGGGCTCGATCCCAGGACCCCGGGATCACGACCTGAGCCGAAGGCAGACGCTTAACACCTGAGCCACCCAGGCGCCCCTCTACATTTCTGTTTTGAGACTGTAACGTATGCAGCTTCCCCACTCTGGGTTTGAGTGTCAGCTAAGGTGTCCTGATCCGGTTTGGGGGCCTGGAGGACGGGGGCAGGAAGGCAGAGCATGGCCCCATCGACCGCCCTGATGAGGCTGGGTCCAGGACACGGAGTTTTGTCCCGGAGAAGAGAAGTGGGATGTGCGCGTGTGCGGGTCAGTCCTGAGGATGGGGAGGACCCAGGCTGGACCGATTCACTGCTTCACACTGACTTTTGGCTGTCTCTACTGCTCTGACGAAAACAGAAAGAGCACAAAGGGCCTCATTCTCAGACCCTCTGCCATTCACAGGGACTGCAGTGAAGACCAGGCTGGACACCTCAAGTTCCATCAGTTGTTTTCAGACATGTGCCATATGAAACGTTATTTTATTCTTCGAGAACAGGGACTGGCAATGTCTAGGCTGTGGCCAAATCAAGCCTGCCACCTGTTTTTGTAAACACAGTCTTATGGAACACAGCCTTACTCGTTCATTTACATATTATCTAAGACCTTCAGCTGGCAGGCCTAACAGAGACCATGTGGCCCAAAGAGCCTACATATTTACTATCTGGCCCTTTTCAGAAAAGGTTTGCAGGGGCGGAGCGAGATGGCGGAGGAGTAGGAGACCTGGATTTCGTCTGGTC